TTTGTTAGTGTTTAAAAATATACGTATTTTTTTTTATCAACATGGGTATTCTCTTCAATTGTGTAGCTCAGAAATCCCGAGTATCTTGTTATGGGGCCAAAACACAGTCATCACTTTTTGGCCAGCCTTTTGGTGATGAACCTCTCTGAACTTTAGTTAGCTGGCCTTCAAATATTGGGATTGTACTAAAAATCTTGTTGGAGATTTTTGGAGATAAAAGATGCCAGAGTTTACACTTAACTGGCATACCCTTTGGGAGCCCAGGTCACCACCATATCACAATTGCAAATAAATCATTTGCAATAAGCTTAAATAAAAGCATTCTTTTAATATCAAAGTTAAATAAGAAATTTAAAGACAATCAAGTACTACAGAGTGAACATAATATTTGTAAAACACCAGGGAAAATATTAAGTTGGTAGTGTAGCATTGCTTTTGAGAAACAAAAAGTGATTCATTCCTTTTAATCGTTACACTATTATAATAAACACGTCTTATAACACAAAAAAAAGAAAGCCTCATCCAATAGGCAACCGTGAGTGCTACCTTCAGCTGTATGTTCAGAACAATGTTGCGTCCATTACTTGCAGTAGTACTGTGAATGGTTCTGTTTACAGGTAAAATGATGAAAAGGAAAATCACCTATATGTCTGTCTAATGACCTTTCTAATCAAATAATTGAAAAAAATCTTTCAATTTTTGCATTAAAAGTGGAGGCAGCTAGGTTACACAATGGACAGGGTGCCAGGTTTGGGGTGAGGAAGACTCACCTCCCTGAGTTCAAATCTGGCCTCAGACACTTACTAGTTGTATGACCCTGGGCAAGTCACTTAACCCTGTTTTCCTCAATTCTTCATCTTAAAATGAACTGGACACGGAAATGGGAAACCACTCTAGTATCTTTGCTAAGAAGACTCCAAATGGGGTCATGAAGAGTTGAACATGACTGAATAACAACAACAAAAGTATGAAGGTAGTTAAAGATGATTATCACTTATGCTATTGATACTCATTTTAGGAATTTTTTTAACTTTGCAAACCTACTGATAGCATTGCCACAGTTTTTTGTTTTCCCATGAAAATGATACAATACAGAATTCTATTGGATTCTGCACTGAAAGAGGCCAGTTGATATCCAGGTGAAATATGTCTATACATGCTAGTTAAAAATATGGCTTCTCATAATTTGAGCTTATACATACATATATATATGTACACATACATATATATGCTTATATGTATGGATATATATGTGTACATATATATGTATATGTGTGTATATATGGATATATATGTACATATATATGGATGTATGTGTGCTTATATGTGGATATATATGTGCATATATATATAATCTCATGCTTCATAATTATTTACATCAAGAAATACAAGAAGCAACATGTATTTTTTTCAAGTTACTATAAGAATAATAAAACTTTATTTAAAAAATTGTCCATAAAAGGAAGGCTCTTTGCAAAATTGTGTAATGATAGGAGGAAAGAACAGAGTTCGTATATATTATTGTGAAGCACAATGACTTTCTTATGCCCAAGGATGTTGCATAATCAGTTAGTCAATAAACATTTATTAAGTATCTATTATATGCCAGGCATATGCTAAGCTCTGGGCACATAAAAAGAGGCAAAAGACTGTCTGTGCTTAAGGACTTCACGACATAAAACAAGCAACCAAATATATGCATACAAGCTACAGATAAAATAAATAGGACATAGAATTGACACATTCATGGAGTAGTTGAGAAAGACTTCTTGTAGAAGATGGCATTTTAGTTGGGATTTAAAGGAAGTCGAGGAAACCAGGAGTTTGAAATAAGGAGGGGCAGCCTTCCAGGAATGAAGGACAGTCAAAGAATATGCCCAGAGTCAAGTGATTGAATTTTTTATTTGTGGAACAGCAAGGAGGCCAGTGTCACTGGATTACATAGTTTCTTGTTATTATTATTCAGTCATTTCAGTCATGTCTGACTCTTCGTAATGCCATTTGGGGTTTTCTTGGCAAAGATACTGGAGTGGTTTGCCATTTTCTTCTCCAGCTCATTTTACAGATGAGGAAACTGAAGCAAACAGGGTCAAGTGACTTTCCCATGGTCACAAAGCTAGTAAGTGTCTGAGGCTGGATTTGAACTCAGGAAGAATTTTCTTGAGTTCCAGACCTGACACTCTATCCACTGTACCACCTGTCTGCCCTGCCTAGTGTGGTACCTGGAATATAATAAATGACTGATTCCCAGAGTCTGGATTAATGGAGTCCTGGGATACCTCCTAGCTCTTATGTTGAGTGAACTCAGAGGCATGTCCTATAATCTCAATAATCTTTCCAAAGTACCATTGTGACCAAGTTGTTCCTCAGATTAACCTTCAGTGGCTCCCCATTGCCTACCACACCTTGGAATTTAAGGACCCCCATGATCCAGCCTAATCTTTACCACTCCTCTTTAATCAGTCAATCAACAAACCTGATATGTGTCAGGCACTGGGAATACAAAGACAAAAGGGAAAACAGTTCCTGCTCTCATGTAACTTAGAATCTAAGCAGGGAGACAACCCACCCGTATGCAGGTAGATGCAGAATTATTCAAAATAGATACAAGGTAACTTGGAGGGGAAAATATTAGCAGGAGGGGAGGGAGGAAATCATGAAAGCCCTCAAGTAGTGGTGACTCTTTTTTTTATAAATAGTATTTTTTTCAATTACGTATAAAGACAATTTTAACATTCTCTTTTTTCAAAATTTTGAGTTCCAAATTTTCTCTCTTCACCCCATCTACCCACCTCCCTAAAACAATAAGCAATTTGATTTAAGTTATGTATGTGCAGTCATGTAAAACATATTTTCTTATTAGTTGTCTTGTGAGAGAAGAAACAGGCCAAAAGGAAAAAAAAAACATGAAAAAAAGTGAAAATAGTATTCATCAATCTGCATTCAGACTCCTTAGTTCCTTCTCTGAATATGGATACCATTGTCTATCATGAGTCCTTTTGAATTGTTTTGGATCATTGTATTGGTGAGAAGAGCTAAGCTATTCATAGTTGATCATGGCACAATGTTGCTGTTACTGTGTGCAATGTTCTCTTAGCATCAGTTCATTTAAGTCTTTCCAGGTTTTTCTGAAATAATTTTGCTTGTCATTTTTATAGCATAGTAGTATTCCATTACATTCATAGGTGTAGGGGTGTGTGTGTGTGTGTGTGTGTGTGTGTGTGTGTGTGTATACTACACCTTGTTCATCCATTCCCCCAATTGATGGATTTCCTTAATGTCCAGTTATTTGCCACTACACAAAGAGCTGCTATAAGTATTTTTGTACATGTAGGTCTTTTTTCTATTTTTTTAATGAACTCTTTGGGATACAGGCCTAGTAGTTATATTGGTGGATCAAAGGATATGGACAGTTTGATTGCCCTTTGGACATAGTTCCAAATTGCTCTCCAGAATGGTTGGAATGGTTGGATCAGTTCACAACTCCACAGAAGGTAACCCTTGAAGTGAACATGGAAAGAAACTAGGGATTCTAAGAGTGAGAAGGAAGTGCATTCCAGACATGGGGTGTAGCCTGAGCAAATGATAGTGATAGAGATTGAGTAACATGTTTGAGGAATAATGAGGAGATCAGTTTAGCAGGTCCAGTGTGGATAAGAGTAGTTATGTACAATAAACCTGGAAACAGGTTGGAATCAGGTTGTGAAGGTCTTTAAATCTTGAAGAGGGAGTTTTAATTTGATCTTGAAGGTAATAGGGAGCCAAAGAAGTTGATTGAGTAGGGGGAATGAGATCCTGGAGCATTCTCTCTGTTCTTGTGTTAACTTTGCTCTGGTCCCCAGTACATTAAATGGTCTTTCCACATCCCCAGTTCCATCTATTGATGTCTCTTTTAGAGCATCGATATAAATGTTAACAACTCCAAGAAGTTGTTAATGGATTGCTTTGGGATGTGGCAGATTCCATCTCATTAGTCTGCAAGCAGAGCCTGGATGGCCACTTGTCAGGTTGACTGTAGAAAGTATTCCTCCTCGGCTATAGGTGGGATGAGTGACCTCCGAAGTCCTCTGAAATGCCTCTGAACTTCTGGGGTTCCATAAGATTATAAGTACAACTTTCCTGGCCCTCCCCTTCTGCCACCCCCATGTGCCTCCTCTCCATCTCTTAGAATATTTGTCTTACATGTCTTTTTTGCATTTATCTCTCTATCCTTTCCATCATAGTTGTGGACTCCTAGTCCATTCCCACTTTGCATTATATTGTAAATTTCTGGAGAATAGGATCTTCATATTGATACATGAAGCTTTAGAGCTGGAAAGAATCTCAGATGCCATCAAGCCCAACCTCTCCTCATTTTGATGGCTGAGGACATGGAGGCCCAGAGATATTAAGTGACTTGCCCTTTGTCAAGCAGCTAGGATTTGAGCCAAAGTCTTCTGACTCTAAAATCCATCATTCTTTCTACTTTGCTACATATGGACATGTTCATCATTTATCCCAGATCTTTGCATGCAGTAGATACTTAATATGGAGCTGTCTAATTGAATGAGTTACTCTGGAATGAAAAGCTGGATTTTTTTTTCCAGGTTAGTAAAGAAGTGAACCAAATTCCATACTACCAGAATAAGGAGGTGAGGTGGGAGTGGGGGAAATGCTCCAACAGTTAGAACTGTCTCTAAGAATAATGGATTGCTTTGGGATGTGGCAGATTCCATCTCATTAGTCTGCAAGCAGAGCCTGGATGGCCACTTGTCAGGTTGACTGTAGAAAGTATTCCTCCTCAGCTATAGGTGGGACGAGTGACCTCCGAAGTCCTCTGAAATGCCTCTGAACTTCTGGGGTTCCATAAGATTATAAGTACAATTTCTGAGGTTTTCTCGGCTTCTCAGCTCCCAGCCTGGCACCTTCCTGCTGGTGCTTGATGAAATGCTCTTTGTCTCTGGAGACTCTCCTGATATGATTTGTTTACTGAGCTATATCTGTCATTTTTTTTCTCCTAGCTATCCATTGCAGTCTGAATCCAAATGGTATTGATCACTCTGTCCATGCAGAAGGTATTAACCAGCAAATTGAAGCTGAAGGCATTGAATCTCAAGCCGTTAAGAACAAAACTACCCAGAAATCACCTGACCTGAAAGAAACACCCAAGCGACAACAGATTGAGGCAGAAGCATCTAAGGTGAGGAATAATCCAAACAGCAATTTCCTAAAAAATGTATGTCCACCCAGCAATAGGAAAGGACAGTTGGAATATTGACTAGATAGGATACTGTATAGGTTTTATTATGAAAGACTATTCTCTATATAGTTGGATTATTAGTCTACATTTTAAATATTTTTGTTCAAAAACATTTTATTTGCATTATCTCATTTGATCCTTATAACAGATCCTGTGAGGTAGGTAAGTGCAAGTATCCCATTTTAAGGATGAAGAAACTGAGAGGTTTAGTGATTTACTGAAGGCCATACTGTTTATAAATGGCAGAACTAGGACCAGTGTTCATAAACAAATATTTTTATTGCAAGACAATAAAAAACAAATAGTTTTATTGTTGCCTTTTATATATCATTGCCATTTCCTGATACATACACATACACAAATATATTTATATGTATATATGTATACATATATACACATATATAGATATATCTATATATAATCACTTCCCCATCTCATTGATCTTTTTCTTTTGACAAAAACCTCAGAAGCAAGCTGAGTAACTGAATAACTAAACAATTGCTACTAACAGCACACTGCCACATTCTGCCCCTGTAATCCTTCACTTTTCTTCCAAGAGAAGGGAAATATATTTCATCATCTATTCTCCTGGACAGGATTGGTCATTGCAATTAATTTGAGTTTAGCTGATTTACAGATGTTTTCTATTGACAGTGTTATGGTCAGTGTACATAATATTCTCCTGATAATGCTCTTTCCTGATTATGCTTCAGTTTGTCCTTTAGTGTTCGTTCCATGAGACCTTTTGATTCATTGATTGGTTTAAAATCCTGTGCATTGATATGATAATAAGTAATAGTAATAAATATACAAATAATATAGTATAATTAAGTAATAAGATGTGAAAATGTTGGCCAAATGTGGGGCTTGACTAGGAAATAGGAAGTAAGAAATTTAAACATTTGTGTAAATTCAAATACTTTATCATTTACCAACAGGCACCAGTAAAAGTTGAAAATAAAACAATGAATGGTATGGCATTTGATTAGAATGTGACAATTTATTATAATGGAGAAATAGATAAGTGAGCCATGGTTAATTCTCAAGTTTGGATGTAGATCCTGTGATGCCTATTTGAGGGATGCCATACATAGTTTGAGAGAAAAGAATTTGCCAGGTCAAGCAATCCTTGAACAAAGGAAGCAGACAGGCTGTACCTCAGTATTAGTTTTGTCACTTATCAGCAGGAGGCATGGCTCTGTAGAGAATCTGTTTGTCTCTGAAATAATTGAAGCTGTTAATAGGATGTAAGGTTGCACATCCACCTTCCAGGTGCTCATATTGTCAAACATCTGTGATCTCATTGATTGAGGAATTCCCTTTAATAATGTATGTGGCAACCTATCCGTGTCTGATCATCCTTTGTGAATCTCACCTGTGTTCTCCTAGAAGTTCACCTCAGGAGCCAGCCAACATGCTGGGAACCTTTTTCCATTTTTCTCAACATTGCAGAAGTACCAGTGAACGTTTTGGTCATCCACCTGTCATCACTCACCCTTACCATGTGACTAGCACATCTTATTTTCTCATACAGAATGATAACATCCTTTACTTCTGCTCTTCTTTGGTGTTCCTTGTTGGTCATATGTTACAGCCTGCTCATGTGTACCATGGAGCTTTCTACTTTCTTCTGTGCAATACTCCTCTTTAGTACTTTGGAGGCAGTGGTATTCCAGATCTTCCTGTTACACAAAACCCCCCAGTAAAATCTTTGTATTAAAAAGATAGGTCTTTGCTGTTATGGAGAGGTTGAAATTAGTAAATGTGCTTTTTCAGTTATTCAAAGGCAATCCAACTCACTCTCCTCCTTTTCAACTCTGGGTCCATCTGTATTATCTGTCCCAGAAAAACATACCATTGGAAAAGCTCTATAAGGTGTTAGTGATGATAAATTGCTATAGTCTAGCCTTGATTATTCTCATGTGGATTATCGCAAGGGATTATCATCTACAGAATGATTTTTTTTGCCTCTCTGAATAGCTTCTTCAAATGAGATAATATTTATTAAGCTCTTAGCACAATACCTCGCACATAGGCAATATAAATGCTTATTCCTCTCCCTGTCCCTTCTTGGTCACCCTTTCCCATTGTCAGTTGGTGTCATTTGGTCAGTTGTCCAAATAAGCTAATGTTTAATATTTGTGTAAATAGAGAACAAAAATCAGAAGGTTAGTCTGCTGCCAAATTAATTCATTAATTGAATTGAGAACAGTTTTCTAAACCTAACAATTATTTTTGTATCATTAATTGTTTTGAATGATTAGCCTTAATATGGCCATGCATCAGCTTGGATAATTGAGAATGGGCTTTATTAAATTTTTAGTTTCTTGTTCATGGGAAATGTAATTGACCAGCCAATAGAAGTAGATAGTCACACATGGCATCTTAGATGTGAAGATGTGAGCTATATATGATATTAACTAGTGGTCCTTCAAGATTTGTTTTTTAAGCAGAGTTGAACATAAAAGCTTTGCCTCCCTCCTTCTTTCAAAATTTCTGTGGCATGAAGAATTAATCAAGTTTTAATTTAATTGGCCCTAAAATCTTCATTTTCTTAAGAGCCTTCTGAAACAAGGAAGGTAGATGGAGTTTTGTCCAACTGGCATCCTTAAGATAAGCAGCTACTAAAACAGATTAAAAATTGTAATGAATGAATAAATTAGCCATTGATTAGTTCTTTATTTTTATAATCCCATTCCAAAATTAAATATATTCCTGGTAGTAGTATTAATAACTAGCAAATTGATTGAGGTTTGATATGAGGTTATTTGTAAATTATTGAATACTTTCTATGTGGTTGCCATGTTAAATTTTTCCTAAGTTTAATATTTGGGCAGTGCTTTTGTTTTTCTAGGTACTATCATGTTCATTTTGTTTAAACTGAAGTTCACTTAGAATTTAGCAGACTTTTATGCAGAAGCAGAAATGTTGATACCAAACTTCTTTATGATGTCCATAAACTAGAAAAATATTCCATGATGCTCTTCAGGAGGAAGTCATTTTAATACTGCCTGAAATTCCAGGGTAGTTTTTAGTGGAAGATCTAACTAGAACTCACAGTAGATAGCATAACCTTCCCACCTCTTGAATTTGTGTATGGTTACTGTAGTCAAGGATGCCCAGGTGAATACAAGGAACATTATATTTTGGATGTTGGGAAGTGTAGGTGTGCCAGTTAACACACTATATGAACAGATCAGATGCCAAGGTCAATATGAACTCATTTTGTTCATGGACTTGGAACATCTTAAATCTTTTTTCTTCTGTTGTATATGTATCACCATTAGGGTGGTTTGTGACCTTTATAAATAACTAAATAACTAAGCCCCAAGTGATATAAGTTGAGCTGACTTGAATGGCTATAAACTTGCCTAGAGATCATTTAAATAAAGGCTCTGGCCATCAATTTGTGTGTTTTAAAATTGCTTCATGCTTTCTGGGCTAGAAGGTAATTTTAGTTGCCTTAACCTCATGTCAGTGCTCAGAGGAATAGAGTCCAATCCTAATAAAATTTAAGAAGCATCATGGTATAATGGAAAATGTACTGAATTTGGTGTCAGAAAACATTTTCCAATGACAGCCCTGCTATGTGCTTCCTGTGCCTTGGGCAAATCAGTAAGTCCTTTTGGACCTCATTTTCTTCAACTATAATTTTCCTAAATCTGTGATAAATGTAAGCATTCTACATCTTTGAAAACATAAGATAACTCAGGCCATATAGTGGATAGAGGGTTGAATCAATCAGATGGTACTGAATTTGGATCCAAGAATGTGTCTCTAGCTGTGTCGCTTGGGACAAATCACTTAACTAGCCTCAGTTTCCTGATAAATGGGGATAATATTATCACCTACCTCACAGGATTATTGTGAAAATCAAATAATAAAGTGCTTTTCAAACTTTAAAGTGTAATTCAGGTTTTAGTTATTAGTATTATTGTTACAATTTACCATTCATGAAACTATTGATAAGGTAGTTATAACCCCCCCATTTCCTCAGTTCCCTCATCTGTAAATTGAGGAGGTTGCAGTGGAGGAAGGACAATCATGAAAGTCTAATTAGGACTTGATTTATAAGACTCATAAGGCAAGAAGTGAGGATAAAAGGCATCCCAGCTTGGGACAGTGGGGAACAGTATATGCAAAGGCAAAGAGGTGAAAATTTTCAAGGCAATTTTGGGGAATGGTGAGGAAACCCATATGGATGTCAGGAGATATTGGGGGACCTTGAGTGTCAGACTTAAGAACTGTGCCAACTCTTTTCCGTCTTCTTGGGCGTATGATTGGTTGTGTAACTTCCATTTCTTGATGGCACGTAAGTGCACAGTTATCTAGTCCTGAAAGTGGGTTTGTTGAAGGTCTTGTGTTTGGGACTTGAGTTGGGAAATAGAAAACTCTGGAGTTCCGCTCTGGAATTGCAAATTGATTGTTCATTTATGTGGACACAGAGTAGATCTCCTCAGCATATTTCTCAACATGCAAAAGTGACAATTAATAATACTCACCTTCTCTATTACGTTTTTGTGATTATCAAAGTCCATGAATATTATAGAGAAGGAAGTGACAGTGAAGGTGAAGTCAATGGGTTATGAGTGTGCCTGCCCCAAATGTGGGCTCCTGTGCCTGTTTGCCCAAATAGTAAGATATATGCATGTATGAAGGAGCTCATTATTTATTGAAAATGAAATTTAGATCCTGAGCCAGTATTGTTAAGCTGAGAACTAGGTAACTCTGTAGGCAAAGGAGGTCATTAAAATTTTGCATGTATGTTTTTATTTTCTCAAATAAAAGCAGGAAAGTTCTTGTTTTATCCATTTAGGGAAAAAATGTGGTGATGCTAATAACTTTTAAAACAGCAGATAATTAAGCAGTTCTAGTTTGAGTTGCATTTTCTGACTCTTTGGGAACATTCTTAATTAGCATTACTCAAGCATTCTTAATTA